GTCCGCAGACATCTGCAGTCCTGCGGCATCGGGAGCGAACTCAATAAAATAAACTATCCGGGAAGAGGGCGATTGAAAAGAACTAACTTAAAAAAAAATTATATATATTAAATATACTCTTAAAGTAGGTTATCGGGTATTCGTTCATTTTCTCTCGACTGGGAAAAGATAACGGTGTGAGATGCTCACGTGCACACAGGATCTCGATTGCCGGAACGAAGTAGTCTTCGCACACCGCGGCGAGCAGCAGGCAGCAGTAGATGGCCAGCGCGCAGTGCACTACGATGAGGCCCTGTCCAGGTAAAGGAATGTGGTATTGAGGCGAATCGGCCCACAAGTGTGATGACATAGAGAAACAGACCGTTTATGATTTATTTATTTATTTGTAACATGTGTTATTATTGGAGTGTGTGTAAGAAACGGCTGGGACGCCAGAGATTATCTGGCGAGGGTCCGTTTATCTCCGCGTCGCGTCCTCGGGACTATAAATAAAACAATTGCCGTCGATAAACAGGTCGTGTATGAATCGAGGCATGATTTCCTTCAATTGTTCTTCTCATCCAGTCCAGAGATGATTCAAACGTTGGAAGTGAATGGAAACTTGCAGCGAGGGCATTGTTGAATAACGATTCGAAGTACCTACGAATACATACCTGTACTGGCACGGCAAACTTGCTTTTAGGGACCCTCTTTCATTTGTCGATTTTAATTTTATCGATATCTATATTTATTTATTGCTAAGTTGTTCCAAAATATAACGTTGCTCACTATTGCAGGATTTTATTTTACTTATATTATATTTGTAAAGAAATTAACATTTTATTTTATTCCTTATTTTAAAAACGGTTTCTAAACGATTGTCTATGGGTTGAATGAATGTTGTCTATTATTTTAGAAGCCACCTTAGAGGAATGGCATATTATTAAAAGACGATAAAATAGAAACTTAAATGTTGTTTCTTTGTTTTCAGGTTAGTAGTGTCATTTAGCATTATTGTATTTAGCATTGTAATTTAGTTGATAAGGTACTTTAATAATAAAAATTTAAAAACATTGTTTTCAGAGCAACACGTTCAATCATTTAAAACCCAATAATCTATACTAATAATATAAAGAGGAAAAATTTGTATTTTGTATTTTTGTATGTATTGAAATAACTCAAAATCTACTGGACCGATTTTAAAAATTCTATCACAATCAGAAAGGTAATTTATCTGTGAGTAACATAGGCTATATCTTATTATTACTAATTTCTAGGAACTATTAATAAACAGCGTGTTTGTGGACGCCGGCGTTAAAAATTCATTAAAGTTTAACTTTTATCGGCTTACGCTGCCTAAACCGTTAGAGGTATATAAAAATGAGATATGAATGAATTGTAGATCTCAAAAAGTTCTATAGAAAAGTCCGCGATAGCATATATCTATCTTTAACGGTTTTCTTACAATAACCACTTTTTTGTTTACAAAATGAATTAAAAACCTTACGTTATTTGCAGCGTTCTTTTATTGGTTTCAATATTAATCCTTATCCAAATAAATGCCTTTGTTGTCAGGAGAATTTAATGGGGAATAAAATTGTCCTTTACAGTATTTAAGTTGGACTAATCGTTTAGAAGATATCGCAAACACAAACAATAAGGGTAACCGAAAAATCAGCTTACAAGCTACCGGGCTTAGAAATTTGGAATCTTGCATCGGTAGATTTCTGTTATTACGTAGGTTGAAAAAGGGAGAACGTAATAGGTTATAATTATAATTTCACTCGGGCGAAGTCGCGAGCAACAGCTAGTTAGAAATAAAGTTCTTATATATTTTTAAAACTACACTGTCACAGTATGGCTTAGACGCCAAAGTGTACTTTTTTAAACGTAGTAAACCTGCTGCAGAATCGCGATATCTCCATTGAGAGTATTTTTCTCTATATTTAAAACAGATGTTATCATCGAGATGTGTTAATTAGGTTTTAGAGATGTAATATGTTTAACAAGGAACAAGCAAGGTGCCTTTAATACAACGTATGTATGATTAAATACTAGAGCAAATCTATATAAGTGTACTATACGTCCATTATTGAAAAGGAAATATCTTACGTACAGATTTCCTCTGCATCCGAGTGAGGCCATCTGATGGGAATTCGAGAATGGCCGGCGGAGTGCAGTTGAGGCGCAAGCCGCGGGCCGACACCTCCGACTCCTCCTCTCCGGGACCTGTCACCGCTAACAGACGCCGGGACGCCAACACCCCCTCGCCCCCAGCGTCTGTCACGAAAGTAATAAATTTCATACTATTTAGTTTCAACTTCCACATAAAGTCAGTTTCTTTGGGTTAAACGCAGAGTAAATAATTGCACTCTGTTTTTATTTTATTTATAAAAAAACGTTTAGACTTAATTTGGCCTAGTTCATTTGACGTCTACAGTATTAAATATCAGATGAGCGAAGCACACTTTAGGCAAAGCTCGATTACTTTTATGATAGCTAAAAATCTATGCCACAAAAAATATAAAACATAAAAATTGCAGTCTCGCTTTCCCTATAAACGAGTGTTAGATGTCATGTAAAACCTAGTTGTTTAGTTAGTGCCTATTATGTAGCCTTGGCGACGCGACACGACGCCATCATTTTCGAAGACACCACTTGCTATTTATTCCATTTCTATCTAAACCTAAGCAAATTGCTCGAGAATAACGTAGTTATTTCAGTTTGAAAGTCAATGGCACCTTGTGATTGCCAAGGCACTAACACCATCAGGCACTAACTAAAATGACTAGGTTTTACATGACATATAACACTCGTTTATAGGGAAAGTGAGACTCGGCAGTTTTTTACATTTATTGTAGGATCTTACTTCTTTTTGTAAGTTTTCATAATTAAATTTTCATCGTTTAAAGCCAATTTAGTTTGAACCCTTCCTGACCTGAAAATGTACTAAACGTACTAGAGGTCAAGTTAAAATAGTTAATCTTTTCTATATGAAAAAATAATAAATTCCTGTATTTTTGATTTTTTCCTTTAATTATACATTGACATCTATATTATATTCATAATTTTATGATCGTGGGACTGCTAGAAGTACCTTACATTTATTATTTGACTTTATTTCGTAAACTACAAGCTATAATTATAAAATATTTTGGGTTTATAACAAGGTGTATAATATATATTTCTATACTATTATAAAGAAGAAAACTTTGTATTTTTGTATGTATTGAAATAACTCAAAAACTACTGGGCTGATTTTAAAAATTCTTTCACCATCAGAAAGGTAACTTATCTGTGAGTAACATAGGCTATATCTTATATGTTATAAATTTTAAACGTCTATCTTTATATATAGTAAGTTACATGGATTTTGATACATTTTTAATGATTTTTCATTTTTTTAAATTAATAAATTTCAAAATTTTTCATTTTTCCTAAATCTATAGACAAAGCGCTAAACAAATTCTACATTTCAAGATTAGCACCATTGGAAGTGCCTTTTAATTGTAATTAAACACGCATGTGTAAAAAAAGTGAAGATTTCAAGTAACTAATAATTAATAATAATTTGTAAACAGCTAGATATAATTTAAAGGTATTTTGGTTATACAATCAATTCCGGTATATCTAGTAATGTTCAAAATGTGAAGCTTCTTTCTTTATCCACAACGAAGTTACAAGGGGGTCAAAAGAGCCCCGAAGCGCTTCGAGAAAATAGTGTTTGGCTGTACTCACCTCGGCGGGTGCACTGCCGCGCACCCAGATTATTTTAAGTATTTGCCGTGTAGAGACATGCAATAATTGCAGTAATTGAATAAGCTTTGAATTAACAAATTTTGGGCAATTATTAGTGACAGTAGCATTTCCAATTGCCTTTGTTTCTCCATTACCTTCTATAGTATAGACACGTTGTCCCTGCTGGGTGGCTCTTCCGTCGAGTAGAAAGTAAAGTAATGGTATAAGGAAGAAAGCGAAAGTCCTTACAACGCTCGCGACACGATACTTGCTCCTGAAGCGAGTTGTCCCCGACTCCTCGTCCGGCACGATCGGCGCGACCGGCATTTGCACCACGCGCCGTATATCCGGCATAAGTAACGTCAGGCTGAAGCGCCCTGTTGCCTCCGGTCCTCAATTGTATTTATATTTGATGTTCAAAAAATTTTTTGTCAAATAAAAAAATCGAATAATTGGCAGTATATACGGCGAGTTTTCATTTGTCGGGGATGGGGCGTTCGCGAGCGGCGCGTACAGGCCGATACGGAGCAAGGGGAACGACTCGCGCAGCTCTGTCGCTCACTGCATTGACGGTTCAGCGATAAGCTTTATCGAAGGTGTCGTATCAGCAAGAGCGTCAAATGCGTCTAGTACGGCAAGTGCAGTGCGCAATATCGCAATATCGCAATAATCGCGAGAGTAAACAACATCGAATTGCCGAGGACGCAGGCGGCGGCCAGAGGGCACATCGACAAACGATATCAAATTGGTAGCTATTGTGGTGCGCGGCAGTGCACCCGGAGAGGCGACCACAGCCAAACACTACTTTCTCGAAGCGCTTCACATCATTTCTGACACCCCTGTAACTTCTTTGTGGATAAAGATAGAAGCTTAAAATTTTGACCATCAATAGATATACCGAAATTCATTACATTTTTAATTACATCTAGTAGTCTTTAAACAATAACTAGTTAAAATATTCACTTTTTTACACAAATACACTTCCAGTGGTGCTACAAACTTGGAACATTATTATAACTTAGTATTCAGTCAGCGCTTTGTTGAAACTTTGTCGCTTTAAAAAAATATACATTTTTTATTGAAAACATATCAAAACCTTTGTAACTTCGTTACACATGAAAATATACATCTAAAATATCATCTTTGTTAACATAAATAGATATGATATACCTTGTAATAGATCCAAAATATTTTATGATTACATTTGGTAGTTTACGTAAAATCGTTCATTGAAATCTTCACATTTTGCAGAACTGCACGTCTGATCATTATTCCAAGGTACTTGTAGCGTTCTCACAAACTTCCAATTTTGAATATACGAGTAGATAGAATCTAATCTAAAATCTATTACTTCATTAGTTTTTATTATAGAAAATAGTAACTATTAAAACCAGACATCTAGATCTTTCAGTTTTGCTAGGTAGGTTAGGTTCAAACTAAGTTGGTTATTAACGACGAAAATTTAAGTACAATAACCTACAAAAAAAAGTGAGATCCCATAAAAAATATGAAATATAAAAAAAACTTCTGAGTCTCGCTTCGCTTACAAAAATGTGTTACATTTCAAATAAAACCTTGTTATTTTAGTTAGTTTCTATAATAAAGCCTTGGAAATTACACGGCCCTATTAATTTTCAAAATTAAACACGTCATTCTCAAGAGCTTTGCTTAGGTTTAGATAAAAACGGTATAAACAGTAAGTGGTATTCTCTGAAATAATGGCACCGTTTAATTGCTAAGGCTTCATAATAAATAGACACTAACTATTTGAAACGACTAGTTTTTATATGAAATCTAAGACATTTTGTGAGGGAAGCAAGACTCGGCAGTTTTTTATCTATACTAATATAATAAAGCGTAAACACACACTACTTTGTGGCGTAAGATATCAGCAATCACAGCATATTTTTTTCTTAAATAAAATGCCCTTCGAAGTGTAGGCGTCACGCTTTAGGCTTTCTATCTTCCTGCTGTTAAACTTAGGTGGTAAATAAATTGGATAAAAGTCCTCATGTGGGCAAGGGACCATAAGCTACAAGCTGCCAACTGATAATTTGAAAAATGTAAACAATAAGATAAAACTTTCATAAATTGATGCGGACGAAGTCGCACGGGAACGCCTAGTGTTTATTTAATACTTTTCAGGTGTTTGTATTTTTAGATTTGACTACATTTGTTATTGTTTTAAATAACTTTTATGGAATTTTTAAAATCCAATTATAAGTTTATTTCGAAAGCCATTATGCACCCGATTCCTTTGAATTCACGTGTTTATTTCAGTGCCCTTAGTTTTTTTGTTATTAAGACATTGTGACAGTAGATGAGAATCTTAAAAAAAACATTGAAATAAAATGGTTCTTTATATCGCATTTTTTAATTTGATTGTCAAATAGTCAGTGTTTAATAGTTTTTATAAATGTAAAGAAAAAATGAAGTTATCATTGATAGTTTTTGACCGACTTCCCAAAAGAAGGAGGTACTCAATTCGTCTGTATGTTTTTTTTATTTTTTTTTATGTGTGTTACGGTATAACTCCGCCGCTAGTGGACCGATTTTGATAATTCTTTTTTTATCCGAAAGGTAATGCTTGCAGGTGGGTCCCATTTTTTTGTTTGATTTTTGGAGTCAAAGACTACGACGTAGTTAAATAGTTTAGCTCAAAATCGCGCGACGAAATTTAGGGTCATTTTACCTTTCTTTGCTTACGTAGCCTAAACTATAAGACTTACATAAAAATAATGTATGAAAGAATTGTAGTTCGTTCAATTAGCTACATTAAAGTCCGCGATAGCATATATGTATCTCTTAAGGTTGTCGCACAATAACCTTTTGTTTCGCGAAAACCGTCAAATAAATGCAATCAACTTCATTTAAAACGCTTTTATTCTTATTTGGTATGAATCCTTATCCAAATAAATATGTTTTCACGATAGAGTATTAAATGTAGACCATAATTGCCTTTTACAGTATGTAATTCTACCCAAGATTCTAGAAGTTATCAAAATATTAAAACTCACGGGCAACAGCGGCGCGCGGCTGGACGGAAGTATCATTGAATGATCGCAGCGATGTATTACTCGTAGTTCTTTACTTAATTTCTTAAGTAATCGATTTAGATAACTCATTCTTTGTTTGAAAGCTAGTGATTATCATACTGCGATGTTTAGATTCACTAAAAATCGAGAAATAATTAAACATTTTAATAAAAAAAACAAAACCGATTTCCAAACAAAATACACTAAAAACAAAATATTCTCAAAAAAAAAAAACAGTACACTGAATAGTAACGAAATAATTCCTTGAAAATAGTAAACCTCCCTTATTGTAGCTGTTATGTTTATTTTAAACAAATTTTCGTAGTGGCAGTTTAACTTATTTAGAATAAAAAATCGAAAAAATAAAACTTGAAAACGATTAACTTTTGTATAGTGCATATAGGGATGAAAATTATCAAAGTGGACAAATGATCCCCACTATTACCTCCTAGCAGATGTACGTCTAATTACCAATAACCCTGTATACAGACGAATTGAGTGCCTCCTTCTTTTGGTAACTCGGGCAAAAATGCAATTATTCTCAACGCTGTCATTCGCCTTGCGAATTTATAAATACTTTGCCACCCGCAGGAAGTTGGAGCGTGTAGTTAGTTAGTTTTCAATAAGTGGCTATTTATTTAGCTTATCGCGGCTACTGTCGCAGTGAATTTCGATCAAAATTTTCCTTTAATTTATCAGATAAAAGCGCCGTCGAAAATGAATGAAATCGCCTGCTATCGACAGAAGATTCCACTGACGAAGGGCAACGCCTCATAATCTCTCGCCTGTCGTCGCCTGCCGCTATCAGAGAAGAATCGCAACAGTTCAAGAGGGGAATTTATCCATTAAAAAGGCAAACGTTATCTTAAAAACAATTATTACTACATTACATTATTATTACATTATGTTCTCATATGGGTTTTTTAGTTTTTTTTTGGAAAGCCCAATTATTAGGCTTGGTCACGAAAAAAAAGATCACTGTAAACATAATGTTTCAAATCCACGGGCAAGTTTTAGTCGAAAATCGGATTTTTACGATTCTTTTACAAATGTAGTACCTTTAAAAAATAGGAAATAAGGCAACAGACGAGTACTTTGCGCTTAAACAATAGCTATTGCGGTCCTTTACCTGCACAAAGAATGTGATCCGACTGTTAAGAATCGTCTTATATAGGTAATATAAATGTTAAGGCGAGAACTCCGGTGTGTTTGTTTATTATTTGAAGCATTTGTTTGCCACAGTTCATCTGGTATTTTTTTATAAGAAAAGAAAGTAAACTAGCTGCAAGAATACCGTGGTGCGCATCGAAGCCCATGGATATATCCAACACTAGAGGAGGCCTCAGAGAAAGACATAGGCTCGCTTTTTGAAGGAGCCTAAGTCGTGTGGATT